TTTTACCATGGGAGGAACAACTAAACGTGTAAGTCATGAGCATCTTAGAGTTGAGATACAAACATTGCATCAGCAGGGGCTTAAACCTACAGAAATTGTGCAAAAATTGGGCTGCAGCCGCAGAACTGTTTGGAAATGGAAGAATAAAAATTTTGTCCACGACAAAAAGCGACCAGGGCGACCCAGAAAGGTGTCACCTACCACAAAAAGAATGATTAAAAACAGACTTTGCAAGAAAACCGGTAGTTCATTACGTAATTGAGCAAGGGAGTTAAATGACTCAAAACGCTATAAAGAGAAGAAGAAGCAAATTAACTGTGTGACCGTGCAAAAATTTGTGAAAACTACGAAGTGGGGTCACACAGCTTACAAACTAACCAAAAAAACCTCTCATGTCACAAAAATATATCGATGACCGTCTGAAATTTGAAGAACTCCTTCAGAAAAGTGCCCATTTGAGTGAAAAAAGACTTGGTGAAGAATTGCGCAGTCACATCCTTTGGACTGACGAATCTATTATTGAACTATATCCAAAATTGAACCAACAAAATGTTCGTTACAGGACAGAAAACAAATCGGATGTACCATCAAGAGCGATCCCAAAATTCGGGCTTAAAGTTATGGTAGCGGGTGGATTTTGTGCACGTTGCGTGACCCCTCTACATATCATACCAAAAGGCCAATCAGTCAATGCAAAGCATTATATGGAAAAAATATTACCTATCTATTTCGATAGCATGGGGAACAAGGAAATATTTCCGAATGAAAGAAAAATAGTTTTCATGCAGGATGGTGCTATAGCCCATACAGCAAAAGCGAGTTTGAGTCTCATCAAGACGCAAGTTTCAACGGTCTGGAGCAAGGGGGTGTGGGCCGCTAACGGCCCAGATTTGAATCCCCTGAAGAACCAGTGGTCCATACTTAAGGAAAATGTATACAAAGAGCCACAACCCCGGACGAGGGAAGAGCTAGTAAAAAAAAGTTCAAGATGTATGGAATTCGATTTCCAGAGGCACATTGGAAAAATTAGCACAGAGCCTTAAACAAAGAGTTGAGGGCATGGTTAAAGTAAATGGTAACAAGACCAAATACTAAGGTAAATATGTCGAACATTTTTTGTAAGTATCACGGGTAGTTTTTTTTTATACTAGCCTTCACTTTTTTACAGGAAAAATGGGATCGGACTTTATTAACACCCTGTATTTTTATGTATAGAAAACAATATTTGTTACGATACACTATTTAACCTGGATAATTCGCTCGTACGTGAACTTCTTCCTCTGATAGGAGACAATAATTGCTTAGAACCTATACATAATAGTGTTAGATAATTAGCTAAATAATATTATTAATATGAATTGTAATTTTGATAATAATAATGATGAATTGGCGTATGCAAGTACAATAAATACAAAAGATAACCGATACTCTATATATGTAATTTATTAACTTGATATAGTTACTCTGCGCCATGATATGAGATAAAAAAATTATACTACATAAACTATCCAGATGCTTTTGATTCATGTGGGGTACGAAATGTGGCTTATAAGGGGTAATGCAACTAACACTATATAATGCACACCGAGTGCAAGGTAGAGTAAAACGGATTACCCCATGATATTTTTCCCTAAATATACTCTATGTAGCATCACTGCACTTATTACTCCGTTTGAAGTTATTTTTTTACCTCATATCAATGCAAAATTTTTAACTGTGTATTCATGTACAGTATGTGCAAGTAAGCAATTATTTATTTGTTATAGATCTTGTGACATAAATATACTTGCATCGAAATATTAATGTACGTCTGTAGCTTAAATATAATACAAGTATGCCTACAATTATCCATATAAACTTTGTCCAGAATAAAAGTCCTATTTATGTACAATGATACCGAGGTCGGCAAATGTGAAAATTTTCAATTTAAACAGGAAACTCCGGTTTAATGCTGTAGCTACAGCTACATAAGTATTATAGTAATTTTTTTGGAGAGCGTACTAATTCTATGGCTGGAGTAGATAAATAATTAAACGAGGAACTAATAATGGTTGAATAATAATGAATGACAAATGTACATACAGTATGTAACTTATTTAATGCTACGATTTTTAATTTCAAATTCAACTTCAATTTTCCCAAGAACAGGTAGATATTTCAAAATTGTTTTCATGCCAATTATTCACCATATATTGGACTACATTGAGGCAAATTTTCAGAGGAATGGAGATAGAACGGTTGAATCCACAAATATTTTAATGTCAAAATATTGCGAATTGCACGTTACATAATTAATGCTACGATGCACAACCGGTGCAAATTTGCCGTTTTTCCTAAATACGGAGCAGAATTTCGAATAGATAAACAATTCTGTAGTATTTCTACTACAAATGAAAATAATCTGCCGAATTATAATAAATAAATAACAAAGGACACCGTTGTCAGTATCAAAATATTGGAAAAGTGACCTGTCTCCATTAATAACGTTTAAATTTAAGGAAGCTTTGGAAACAATTTAAAATACACACCGAATCTGTTCCAAGACTCGCGGAGGAAAGGAAAACCACAGAAGCTGTAGCGAATTGTCATCGTCAGGGTCGAAAACCCAGTAAAACACCACACGCGGACGAGACTATTGTAAAAACAGTGACAATAATGCTTGTCTGTCCGCGCCCGAAATTGCGAAAGATGTTCAAAGTGACCGTTTTACTGCTCTACACCTATGAATGATTAGACGCAGGCTGATATTCGCAGGAATATCCGGGGAAATTCCAAATTATACACCATGCATCTTATGGAGCAACCACAAGAAACACTTGGGGTGGGCAATGCAAAGCGAAGATGATCCCATGTTTACCGGAAAAAATTTCTGTTCCCAGATTAGACCATAATTCAACTTTTTAGCTCAGATGGAACGGTAAGAGTGTGTAAGGAGCCCAAAGAAATTTCAAGGAATTAATTTGTGAGACAAATTATCGAAAATAGCAGAGATAAGGAAATCTAAGCTGTGTGAACCGCTAAACCCTGGTATGAAACTTTCGAAATCTTGCAGGGAGGTCAGGTTTTGGGGCAGTATATGTTGCCACAGGGTAGTAGCACTGACGTGCGTCGATGGGATCATGACCAAAGGGGTTTACCTTGCTTTGTTAGAAATAAGTCTTGGCCAATTCACAACAAAGAAAGACTTCGGTCATAGATTTATTTTCAACAATTGCCGGATATTAGACAAATATTACAAAAATCATCTTAAATGCCTCAAGGATAATAATATAAAGGTTTTGGACTGGACACTAAAATTTCTTGACCTCAACTCGATCGAGCATACCCCAAAAACCCTGCGGCGTCTGGTGACAACACCAAAACCGATAAGCACGGCTCCCCGACACACCGTGATAACAGAAAATAAATAAAGATCGACCATAGCATAACCGAAAGGTTGGTGGATTAGATGCCCAAACGATTTCAATCAGTTATTGGGGTCTAACGAAATATTGAACCGCTCCTACCCCCGTAGCATTAATTATATAACGTGCAATTTGCAATATTTTGACATTAACATATTTGTGGATTCAACAGTTTTATCTCCATTCCTCCGAAAATTTGCCTCAATGTAGTCCAATATATGGTGAATAATTGGTATGAAAACAATTTTGAAATATTTACCTGTTCTTGGGAAAATTGAAGTTGAATTTGAAATTGAAAATCGTAGCATTAAATAAGTTACATACTGTATATGTACACACCTTATATATATGTATATACAGGGTGTTAATAAAGTCCGATCCCATTTTTCCTGTAAAAAAGTGAAGGCTAGTATAAAAAAAAACTACCCGTGATACTTACAAAAAATGTTCGACATATTTACCTTAGTATTTGGTCTTGTTACCATTTACTTTAACCATGCCCTCAACTCTTTGTTTAAGGCTCTGTGCTAATTTTTCCAATGTGCCTCTGGAAATCGAATTCCATACATCTTGAACTTTTTTTTACTAGCTCTTCCCTCGTCCGGGGTTGTGGCTCTTTGTATACATTTTCCTTAAGTATGGACCACTGGTTCTTCAGGGGATTCAAATCTGGGCCGTTAGCGGCCCACACCCCCTTGCTCCAGACCGTTGAAACTTGCGTCTTGATGAGACTCAAACTCGCTTTTGCTGTATGGGCTATAGCACCATCCTGCATGAAAACTATTTTTCTTTCATTCGGAAATATTTCCTTGTTCCCCATGCTATCGAAATAGATAGGTAATATTTTTTCCATATAATGCTTTGCATTGACTGATTGGCCTTTTGGTATGATATGTAGAGGGGTCACGCAACGTGCACAAAATCCACCCGCTGCCATAACTTTAAGCCCGAATTTTGGGATCGCTCTTGATGGTACATCCGATTTGTTTTCTGTCCTGTAACGAACATTTTGTTGGTTCAATTTTGGATATAGTTCAATAATAGATTCGTCAGTCCAAAGGATGTGACTGCGCAATTCTTCACCAAGTCTTTTTTCACTCAAATGGGCACTTTTCTGAAGGAGTTCTTCAAATTTCAGACGGTCATCGATATATTTTTGTGACATGAGAGGTTTTTTTGGTTAGTTTGTAAGCTGTGTGACCCCACTTCGTAGTTTTCACAAATTTTTGCACGGTCACACAGTTAATTTGCTTCTTCTTCTCTTTATAGCGTTTTGAGTCATTTAACTCCCTTGCTCAATTACGTAATGAACTACCGGTTTTCTTGCAAAGTCTGTTTTTAATCATTCTTTTTGTGGTAGGTGACACCTTTCTGGGTCGCCCTGGTCGCTTTTTGTCGTGGACAAAATTTTTATTCTTCCATTTCCAAACAGTTCTGCGGCTGCAGCCCAATTTTTGCACAATTTCTGTAGGTTTAAGCCCCTGCTGATGCAATGTTTGTATCTCAACTCTAAGATGCTCATGACTTACACGTTTAGTTGTTCCTCCCATGGTAAAAATTTGAAATAAATAACTTCACTGGTTCAAAAGTTCCAGCTGAATTTGTAACAACCACGCTCCAAAAAATGCATGGGATCGGACTTTATTAACACCCTTTATATATGTATATAAATTTAGCTTCTCAAACGATCCTACCAGGTTTGAGGGGACGCATTAGGAGCAGAGTGGAAAATTTAATTAAAAATAATCATATTTTAATGGATTTGACTAAAAGGCAATATCTGCTTATCATCCAGTGTCACTTATAAATACAAATGTGTGTAAGTAATTATATATGCAGATTGAAGTAACTATTTCAGTTAAATTAGATTTGCTTGATTAAAAGAATAATTAATCTTTGTGGCACGTAGTACATACGTTAAAATTATTATGATTTAAATATGGTTAATGTTAAATATTCTAGTTGCCAAAACTAGTGTTACGTCGATATGTATCTATGTGGTCCATCCATACATATGATTTGTTATGCCTCGTCAATTACATATTTAGTTCAAGTCAGTAATGAATTTCACCTCAGAAATATCTTTCAATCTATCAGCAGGTTTTTCACGAGTAAGTGAGATGATTAACTTAGAATTTAATATCACTGCATGGGATTTTACCTGCCAAAATTCAGCACCGTTAATAACTTGGTGAAATATTTTTAGTTGATCATATTTGCTATGTAAATCCAGCACTTCAAGCATAACTAGGCCAAGACTGAACAAATGCGACGTTTTTCCATAGTGTCCACTGTAACGAACTTCAGGTGCCATATATGCCATTGCCCCAACTCTAGAAGTTGAAGTAGATTCACCCACATCAAGTATTCTGGATAACCCAAAATCTCCAATTTTCACGGGAAGCTGGAACACAGAAGCTGTGAACATAATATTGTCTGGTTTTATGTCACGATGGAGAATGTCTTTCGAGTGCAAGTAGGCAAGACCTTCACGAATTCCACGCACAATTTGGAACTGTGTCATTTCCAGATTTAGATCTAACGTTCGGTCATTACACATGGTGTTTAGCCATGACCGCAAGTTTTGACCGCATAACTCCATCTCAATGAAAGTAAGGCTTGAGGTTAATTTCAATGACATAATGCTAGTTAACTCGGAGGAGGTTGAGTGAGTTGAATCGGAAAGATCAATTTCACCAAATTTACCAAATAGTTTATGACCCTCCATTTCACTTAGTTTGGCGTTGTGAGTCTGTGTCACATTGACGATGTGTTTATGGCTTAGTTTTGTACATATGTCTGTTTCCCTCGTAATCATCTTCTGTCGTGTTGTACCCAATCTTTTGTGTACAAGCACCTTGACGGCCGTATTTTTATTCATGACAGAATTGTGTGTCTCGTAAACAAACCCAAATGAACCTCTACCCAGCAGAAATTTGAATGTGACGTTGCTCAGGAATCTTTGCGAATTTGTGTCCTGTAGAAGCCTCATAAGTTCAACCGTGTCGACGACAAGTTTTTTTGGTAGCTTTTCTGGGTTATACATGCTAGCGTTCACTAAATCAAGCTCAGCAGTTGTGTTGCCTAGAAACTTGTCGACATCATGGACCGACGCCAACCGATGCTCCTCCGTCGGTTGGACCATTCGAATTAGTAGGGGCTTTAAGTTTATCGATGCAAGCTGAATTATTGCATCTGAATCAAGTACGCTATAATCCTGGCTTTTCAATAAATCGAATTTCTCGTTCCTCTCTACCCTCTCTCTGAAAAGCATGACAAGTTCAAATATAACAAGCCCTACGGAATATAAGTCAGCCTGGCGCCCGTATTTTCCCGTGTTGACCTCTGGTGCTCGGTAAAGCCTGGTTCCTTGGTTTGCCGTCAAGGACTCCTTTATCGTTTCTCCCCGAATTTCCCGACTTAACCCAAAATCTCCAATTTTCAGCGGGAAATCGAATTTCTCTGGGCGTCCGGAATATGCAAACAGGGCATTGGCGGGCTTAATGTCTCGATGAGTAATTTTGTTATCGTGCAGGAATGTCAACCCATTGATTAGGTCTTTGATGATTTGTAGCTTAATTGCTTGCAAACCCACATCTTCGATTGCAGCGACCGAGTGGATGGATATCCAGGTCTTCAAGTTATCGCCGAGCAGTTCCATTTTAATAACGTGTATTGGCAGAGGATCACAATCCTTGGCTAATGTGAGCAACGTATGTCTCCGCTCTTGTCCATCTTCATCTTTGATGTCGACTGAATTGATAAATTTATTCAGTTCGCGGAATGAGTAGGTTTCTAGTGTTAAACTTTTAACAGCGACGATATTTCGATGCGGTGTTTTTCCAACGAGTAGCGCTTCACGTTCCACGCGGTAGTCAGGGCCAACCTCGTATATAAATTTTGTTGCAAATGTCTCCCCAGTTGTTTTGTGAAGTGTGGAGAATACAAGGCCGAATGATCCCCAGCCTAGGAAGCTTTCCAGTTTGACCTCATTGAGGAACGACATTGTTTGTTTTCCTGAAAAAATAATATTACGCAAAATCTTAATTATTTTTAAATCTAATTTTATCTTTATTTTTAAATCTGAATTATTGTTACTTAATTTAGAATTATTTTTGGTATTGTATTCTTTAGCATAGTATTGGCCATTTTTTGGGCGAAAAAGATTGACGCGAAGAAATTATTTCACATAAAAATTGGAGCGAACTCAAACCCCAAAAGGGACCTATGGAAGTTTTTCCTTGGTGTTTTTATATACGTTGGACGACTCATCCTAAACATTTTGGCATTTCTAACAACTCTGTGCAACTTTTTTACGCCCACGAGAATTTTTGAAAAAATGTTGTTTTGAAAAGTAATAACATTGAGCTTATGGGGAAAACTACCTAGAAAACCATTCACTGACCTGGTCACTACTGTCCAAAATTTGGGGTCCTGTCTTCTCAGCAATGCGATTGGGTATAATCCTGCAAAATTTCAAATTGTTATCACGCCAATGGTACGAGATATCCCCAGCGAAACTAGGGGTAGGCAGGGTAGGCATTGCCTAGGGGCCCCCGCGGAGCTGGGGCCCCGAAATTCCCTGGAATTTTTATAAATTTGTTACATGTCGAACAGTGGCGAAGCTAGGGATAATCGCTGCATAAGGTCATTAAAAAAATCAAAACTGGTCCAAATTAGGTTAGGAAATTCTACCACATTTTGTTTTATAATTTTCAGTTAAAAATGCTGAGATGGGAGTCACCACTATGACATTAGCTAATTATTTTTCTACAGGCTTTGCGCGCATCTCCAATCTTTAGCAACAGTTTGAAATATTCTAAACGTAGAAAATTGAACCCGATACGACGAAGAAATGCCACAAATCTTATCAGGATGATCCTGGCGTTGATTATAGTTGGTTTAAAAATGATAAATTTACTTTTGTCATTTAACTAAATTAGTCGTAATCAAGCAACCGCAAAAACTGAAACTCAATGTAACTACGCCAGCGGCCTCGCTCCGATTTTGAGAAACAATATGTAATTAGGTAACCTTAGATAAATAATTAAACACGTGTTTCTGGATTTTTCATAATGCTCAGCATAAACGAAATTATGACATAATCTATAAGTGAGAATTTCCATGTTTGCCGTGAAATTTTTCTCTCTCGCCAGAGAAATACAGATTTTCGCTTATGGAATCCATGATAATTTCGCTTAAACTTAAAATGCGTGGACATGAAGCGTCTTTTTCGATTTTGACCAGACAAATTTTAAATTGTTCACACAAGGAAATACGCGGTACTTCTCATCTTTCCTCAATGGACGTATTTTCATCACGTTCTCACGTGGTGCAATTTTTGGAAAAAGTCTTCAAAAGTCTTTAGAAACGTATTTTTATGCTTTTATGGAAGTAATTTGGCAGCACCATGGAAGTTTTATGGAAGCATTTTTGTTCTTTCGCTTTTGAAATAGCATCAAAACTGTAGAATTTATAACGTTATGAAAAATCCTAATTTTGACTGAAAATGTACTAAATATTCAGAAAACACTCACCTTTATGAAAACGCTAAAGTACGCTAGTTTCGGTGGGCGAGCAAATTTAAAAGCGGAAAAAACGATTCATATCCACTTAGATATTTATGATGGAGTTTGTAAGCGAGAATCTGTATTTTGTCCCTTGTGAGAAAAAATTAGGGATAAAAATTTTACCTCATGGATTCCGTCATAATTTCGTTTAAACTGAGCATTATTAAAAATTCTGAAACACGTGTTTAATTATTTACCCAAGGTTCCCTAATTAGCATGGTTTCGTCAAAATTGGAGCGAGAGTCTTCGCATTGTGGGTGTAATCTGCCAGTTCTACAAATACACTCAGTTGTTGAAATTGTGATTTTATTGAAAAGATATTTTAATTAAGCCCTTGTCGCTTAACCAGTCAGCCTCGCACTGAATCAAGTTCATGGTTGCCTATAAACCACAAAATTTTCCATTTTCATAATCTTGTCAAATCTGTCAGGGACAGGGGCCCCCAGCGAACCTTTGCCTACCGGCCCCAAATTTATAGTTCTACTAGTGGTATGTAGGTTTAGCATGTGCTGTGAAGCATTGTTACTCTAAAGAAATTATTTCTTCACCCAAAATGAAGTAAGTTTACCAATTTTGCACATACTTAATGAATAATTCGATTACGTAAATACCTGATTTGTGTTGAATTACATTAAATGGAAAGGTGACACGAGTTGCAATTTTCTCCAAAGTTATTTTACTGCTAAACGACGGGTTTGCAAGAACATGACTTTATTTAATTATTTAAATCCGATGAAAAGTCTGGGCTGAAAGTGCAGACCAACACTTTGCCAAAATGGCAGCTGCTTTTTGCAACGTGGAATGAATGGTTACTGAGAAATGAGAAGATTATGCAGGCCGATCATGTTACTCAGGAGGGGAGCTTGCGAGGTTGATAATAACAGATCTTGATGCCCTTTGGATATGTGGTAGGGACCCATGAGTGTACTAAAACCCTGAAGTGGTTTGACTCCATGGCCACATTTACGCCCGCCACACCCACTCAAAAATGCCCAAAAAACGCTTTCACTCCAGTTTTCACTCACTCAAATCCACGCCAAAAATCCAATTTTACTCGGATTTTGAAATTTCTTTCACCAATATACTCCCAGATAGTTTCTTTCTTCAATCCAATATCAAACTCAATTTTTTCGAAATTTTTAGTATTTTTAAAATTTAAATTTCTGAATGAGCATTGTTGTAGCAATCAACAAGGCAAATTATGCCTGCGAAATAATAATCAGCAAAATTGAGTTTGATATTGGATTGAAGAAAGCAACTATCGGGCAGTATATTGGTGAAAGAAATTTCAAAGTCCGAGTAAAATTGGATTTTTGGCGTGGATTTGTGTGAGTGAAAACTGGAGTGAAAGCGTTTTTTGGGCATTTTTGAGTGGGTGTGGCGGGCGTAAATGTGGCCATGGAGTCAAACCAATTCAGGGTTTTAGTACACTCATGGGTCCCTACCACATATCCAAAGGGCATCAAGATCTGTTATTATCAACCTCGCAAGCTCCCCTCCTCAGCATTAAGTTGTGCCTGGAATCGAGCAGTGTGGGTTCGTGTGTGTGTAGTTGCTGGGGGACGTTCATAAAGTATGTAACGAAAGAGGGGGGGGGGATGGTGGGTTGAACGCTGCGGTTATATAGTGCCTATTTATGTGACAAATGTTGAAGTTGAACTAGAAAAAATCGCCAGCTTTGCGTCACATAATTTATGACCGTCCCCGTATTTACATTATGTAACGGTCATAAATTATCGAGAATGTAGATTAAATTCTCGATCCACTAAAATACAATTGACTTGGTGACATTCTGCTCCATGGAGATATCTATGTATCAAAGTGGGAAGACGTATCTCTCTTTCCTGTAAGTGTGTATGCAAGTCGAGAAAACTTTATACACTCTAAATAAAGTTGTGCTAAATTTGCTCTATGTTGGGTTAAAAAAGAGGATGACACAACTAAAAAGGGAAAATTTGTCCAACTTGTGTAAAATGTGTCAAACCATTGCTTTTTTCACTCAGCCTTGGGTAAATTTAGCACGAATTTTATTTAGAGTGCACGAAGATTTTAACCGTCGTGTTAAGCATACGATGATAAGTTAACATTACTAACTATGCATGTGGTCGGATTATAATAATTTTAAGTTACCAAACCTTCCTATGTATGCAAATATGAACATGTATGCAAATGTGTGATGGTGTATTGAAACCGTTTCTTACATAATTATGTAAGAACACATTATGTACAAATCAGTGTTTCTTTTTGTGCGCACGAAATTGTTTTTATGCATGCACGGTGCATAAAAATGCATATAAATGCATAAAAACGCATAAAAATGCACGAAAATGCACGAAAATGCATAAAAATGCATGATAATACATGCAATGCAACTTATGCATGGAATTTCATATTTTTAAGAAAATTTATATTTTCGTACCCTGTCAAATTGGAATTTGGTAGACATATCGAATAATACGGAATTATTATTCGACAAGAAAATTTCAAACAAATGACAAGTAAAGAACGTCCGGGAATGAATGGGAATGCGCGCTCTAGCGAGTATATTGACAAATCAATAAACCCGCGAACTATAATAATTTAAATTTCTGAAAGCCCACTTCATTAGGGTCAATTTGGTATATCACTCTTAAATTTCAAAAATGGATAAGGGTAGAAGAAGCTTGTTTGAAAGGGAGCTGTTAGCAAAACGAGTGATGGAGTTCTACAACACGACAGCCAACCGAGACTCCAAGGTGACCTGGAACTTTTTTAAGCAGGAAGGAATTCCAAGTTCAAATGTGTATTCCTACATAAAAAAGTTCAAGGATTCCGAAAATGTGCAATTCAAGAAGCCAGCTGGTCGTCCGGCGAAGCTAGCGACCACTCGAGTGAAAAATAGAATTGAAAAAATTTTCAAAACCAAGCCATCAACGTCAGTAGCTGTAGCTGCCAGGAAAGTCAAAATTTCCAAAAGCTACCTGGGGGAAATTAAGGTCCATAAATTAGGAATCAAAGCAAGGACCAAAAAACCTGCACCAAATTACAAGCCCGTACAAGAAAGTCGGATCAAGGATTGCTGTCAAAAATTGTTGAAGAAAATGCGTGGAAAAGTAGTGATCCTGGATGACGAAACGTATGTTCCGGTTGACCCTTCAAATCTTCCAGGGCGTCATTTTTTTCATAGCTCGGATCCCTCTGAAGTGGCTTATGAAGAAAAAGTACGAAAAAAAGACAAATTTCCAAAGAAATATTGCATTTGGCAATGCATCTCCAGTCACGGACATGTATCAGACCCGGTAGTTCTCGAAGGGAATATCAATCAAGATATTTATCTGAAAAATTGCGTCAAGGCTGGATTGGAAGCATTTATTAATAGGTTTCACAAAAATGATAAAGTTTTGTTTTGGCCTGACCTCGCCACTTGTCACTATGCAAAGAAAGTGACCGAGTACCTCAGAAAGAAAAATATTGATTTCGTACCAAAAGATATCAACCCACCTAATGTACCCCAACTCCGCCCAATCGAAAAATTCTGGGCACGTTCTAAGTCAGTATACTCCCGGCTTCAAGATGTGCCTGACACCTTTCGAAAATTCAAAGGACGATGGAAGAAAATCACCTCGGAAGTGGCAAAAACTTCGGGAAAAAATTTAATGAAAAATCTTCGCAAGAAAATCGAACTAGTCGCCAACGGGGGTGTGGCGGCCTTAGCTATTAATTAAATTATGTAGGTACGTATTTGGTATTATACATATGCAAAAAGTTTAAAATTCCGATAACTCATTGTGATTTTATGACCACATTTTCAGACCATTCCCATTCATTCCCGGACGTTCTTTATTTGTTTTGCTATAAAACACAAGCCGATATTCAGCCGTTCATAAAAATCGTCAGGGTCATTCATTTTCATTTACAAAACTTTCATTCATTTTTCGTGTTGAAAAATGAAAAATATTGGTACACTAAAGTACGACAATGATGAGAAAAATTCTTAAATAGCGCGTCGATTCCTCAATTAACCGAATATTTAGAAAAATTGCATTATTCCAATATTATTTGCATGTAAATTATTTTTGTGCATTTTCGTGCATTTTCATGCACTTTTTCCGATTTTTAGTGGGTGTTAATAAACGTTTAAAAACATTTTCGTGCACTAGTTTTGTGCAGGTGTTATTTAACAGCAGAAACACTGTAACAAACACTGCTTATGCATAATGTTAATGCATAATATCTCTGCCAAACCTGCGCATTGGCAGATCAGACGTGTTCAACAAAAAATTATTCATTCAAATATTCATGCATTGTCATGAAGTGCAGGCAACATTCATTCAATGTATATTCATTGACAATTGGCAATATTCATTCAAATATTCATTCATTGACAATAGGGAACATTCATTCAAATATTCATTCATTCATTAACATATTTATTCATTCACTAAAATATTCACTAATTTATTCAAATATTCATTTATTCATTCAAATATTCGTTCATTTATACATTCAAATATTCGTTCATTTATTAAGTAGCTTCAGCTACTTTATGCGAAGATAGAATAATAATGGTAGAACGGATCGAGATAATCGACATCGGTTTTCGACATTACGCATAGGACCCGAGGAGGATCCTATCAACTTGTGGGACCAATAAGACAACCCCCTTTGGCGCCAGAGGGTGTGGTCGGGGAAAAATGAGTTTTTTCAGAAATTGAAGCTACGGATGAAATACATATAAGTGAAATTTAGTGCTCCCGAGCTGTGCCACACCATCTGGCGCTTGGGGGTGTGGTCTGGGGGAAAATGAGATTTTCACTCAAATTGAATCTAAAGATGAAATACAGGGAAATTGAGTGTCCCAAAAGTTGTTGCAAAAGCAATATGATAGTCATTTTGACGTATATTGGACACTTATTTCACCCTTTAGCTACATGCGTTTGCGACGGTTTATTCATTTATTTTTGTATTCACAATTTGCACATGGTAGCCCATCCACAATTTGAGTTCAAATTACTATGTAATATGCATATGCCGCATTACTCGGGCGAACTCGAACTTTAAATTTGACATAAATTTCAAGGTAATAATGAAAGAATTTGAGTCAAAAAATTTCCAAGATTCTTAGACGTAGAGGCTTTTTGAAATATTTATGTGCTAAAATCGGTAATATCCACTCTAATATTTGTATTACAAATATATACGGTATCTACTTATTGACTAATTTTTGAGCGAATTAGTACCATTTTGTTTTATTGTTTAGATGAATTCCATTCTTAGCAATTGACATTAAAATCAAAATATAATTGATTATAGTCAAATGTGATCAAATATATTATGGTTTCATTGTCATTTAAGAGGAGGGTACACCAGTCAAAGATAATTTGTATAATAACTTGCAGAACCAAATCCTTCACCAGTGGCTGCGGAACCAAAAATCCAATTTTGGATAGATTTTCAAAATTCTTCATTCTCATTATCTTCATTGAGACGGGGAAATTCAGCAAAATCTTATTTTGCACAAGTCCCCCTTTATCCCACAATGTTAAACTCCCTTGCTTCCGCAGCCACTGGTGATCTTAGATGATTACTTTATCATACTCATATGTAAAATATATTTTTTAATTTTCGGACAATTTAATAATCTCGAACATTTTCTGATGGCTCTGCGTTCAACGAAATAAAACAAAATATCCAACGGCATCAATATCGAACATTACCACCTTTGTGTACCCTTCCTCCTACTAAAAATAGAATTCATATAAATAATAAAACAAATTGCTCGCGTACTCAATGTTTTCCGCTTATTGCACTT